TTTTCATAATGTAGGGACAGCCTGCAGACATAGGGAGGTCATGAGGGTGGATGGGGGGTGAATTCTGTGGTATGCGGTCGTGGGTTGCATGCCTAGCCATTTCGAAAATTAAATGCAGGTGATGGTTAATTTCGCTGGTACACTGGTGCAAGATGGTTGGGCTTTTTAAAAAATGATAGAAAATAACGAAACTAGTCTATTTGCGGGGAGAATCCATTGTAAAAGGCAGAATAAATGTCAAGTTCAGCCAGCTCCCTTTCATGCTTTAGCAGTTCCTGCTGCAGAGGGTAGTTAAGGCATGAAAAAAGAAAGTTTGCAGCGTCGTAGATAACTATTACAACTATTACGCATATGTACTAATATTTGAAGAAAGATTCCACAAATGGGTTGGAAACACCAGTAGCAACAAGGAAAAAAGTAGTTAGACACAATGACGTAATGGAAAATGCAGTTGTAATCTGAAATCAAATAGTCGTTCAGGGGTAGGAGTAATTAGTGGATCATACGTTCAAATGCAAAGTACCGTCCAAGAATAAAGGGAGCTGCGGTGGACAAACTTGCCAACGGTAAAATGCTTCGATCGGTACAGGTGGAAGTGGGACGTAGTTAAACGGCTCCGTCAGCGGGATGACTGTGTTCGACGAGCCGGCACACAAAAGTGAGTGCACAGGGCCTCTACTCTTTCCTCAATGACGCGCAACCTCTCGTCAATCCGCGCCTGCATACGAAACACTCGATCCTCCATCACGGCGATGCGTCCGAAAGTTGTTGCAGATGTGCCCTTGTCACCCGCATCGTCCATCGGGGCCTCTATTTCCAGAGAGGTGTCACCGCGCATCCTCCTCCGAATAAGGCCCATTTGAATAAGCACGTCAACTCCAGAAGGCCTCATCGTTGACGCCGGGCTCTCTTCGGGAAAGGTCGTAACGTGTAGGTCGTGGGAAAGTCGAGTCACATAAGGTCCAACGACAATGGTACGAATCCTGCCATCCGACACTTGCCTAGTGAACAATCGCGCAAGGCAATACCCTACGTGAATAGGGACCCTCATCTCCATACTCCAAATATATTTGAGATTGTCGGAAGTGACCACACTCATGCTTGAGTTGTGGCCCGTGAGCGTGTGCGCCAATATGTAGTGTAGGTACCGCAATGCCGGGGATCAGAGAGCCGAAGCCTTCGACTGACTTGGGTGGTATATGCGTTGGTTCGTCACCGATCGCCAGTACATTTGTTGTGTCGCTTGCAACTCTTGCGTCAGCGACCGGTACTCGCTAGTCTTTGAAAAATCCTCGTCGTACAAACCCATGGCCGTAGAGAACTCCATGCAAGAGAGGCGGAAGAAACTATTCCCCAACCTGAATTGGAGCATACCCAGACAGTTGACCTCATGTAAATGCTTCTTGTTCACCTCTAAAGTAGCAAGAAGCTCCAACGTTAAAGTCCGATGCCTGTCGTCAGTTATTGAAAAGAACCTGCGCCACGCACCCACGCTAAGGTATCCCTCAACCTCATCCGCGGTGTTCAATGTTGTTATGGCTTCCTCAGAGATACAACGGCCTGCAAGAAAGGACATACCCTTAAGCTGCTCGAACTTCACAGCTTGGTCCGGATTTTCAAAAGGGAGCAGAGTCCCATCTTCAGTAGAGGGCACAGCTCCAGCGCTCGCCGCCGTGCCCTTTTTCACAAGTGCCATCCAAAGCAGTCAAGCATAGTCCTACAAAATCGATAAAAAAAAAATTGTCACGGATTGAATTACTTCCATAGGACAACAACATACCGGTCAATGAAAACAACGAATAAGAAATGCCACAGACACGTGGACGTTAACACATAAGTGCGAATCTCATAACAATGTATTTCACTGAATCAACCTGCATGGGCGACGGAAAAAGTTAGATTGATTGGAGGATCCGTGAAGAAATAGATGGCCTGCACGGCCATGCAGACCACTGCGTCAAGTCCCCAGCCTGAGAGGGCAGGGATTTAGAAGGGCCTCACCAAAGTCGTGCAGTCGGCCTCGTATTTCTCTGCCACCGCGATAAGGCCACATGTCGGAGGCATCACGGCTGTGCTGAAGGGGCTACAATTCCCTGATGAAGTCATGTACTAGTCCAGTTCGGCGCTGCCACGGCCGTGCACGTCGGGTTGAATTTCTCTGCCACAAAGTGGTAGGAAAGAAGATCCGCATGGGCACAGCCGTGCACACGGCCGTCGTCATCCCCATGTTCGCCCCTCATCGTGGACGGCCCCGCCGATCATGTCTCAGTACCCTCGGTAGTGTCCATGCCTTGTGGCAGCGCATTGTTGGATTGAGTACCGGCTCATGTGGCAGAATAAGGTCCAAACATATCATGACAATAGTTGAAGTGGGTGAACGGACGCGACAGTAAATGCCCGTACAAGGGGTGTGCCTACCATTACGCGATTCTGAGTTTCATGCTCCGTTTTCTCTAAAAAATCATTGGATTAGACGCATACCATTAGTCATGCGGCCTTCTGCGCCTCGCTTGCATCAATAACACCGGTCTCTGAGTCCCAACCTAGCCCTGTCTGTCGAACGACAATGTCTCACAGTAGAGCGTACGAGATTTTCATCCGTTTAAACTTTCCTTGGAGTTTTTTCAACTCGTAGTCGCACTCAGTCTCTTCATGGAATTGTGTAACTATCTGTTGCCAAACGTCCATCGCGAAGTTACCCTTGCAAAGTTCCTTAGCTAGCTAGTATAACCGCAGGATGTGCGTGAAGTACAGCTCTAGCTCGTAAGTCAAATTCTTAATAGGTTTGCGTGGAGCAGCAGGGTTTGCCCGTCGGCGAGGCATCTGTCTGAAGTGAAGCGACAGAATGAGATACATGTAAAAAATCTAAGCAAATCAACTACTCAGGATTCATAACGACGGACCCATCCTCAAAGGATGTTCTTACTGATACCTCGCGTTTTCTCTTATAGCAACACAACACTCGACTGCTCCCTACGGAGCTTTCGGCGTCGGGGATTTCAGGGGCATCCAGCTTTGCACGCTTCGGTAAGGCAATAATGGAATTACGCAGGTTAATGTGTGTTCGGTGTAAAGTGAACACGATACAACAAAATAACGCATTTAAAATTTCAAACCGAAAACAAGGGGAGGAAAGGAGACCGTTTCACCGTACTGCCTACACGCTAAGAAGTTTTGAACAGATAAACTTACAAATGAAGCATACCTTGTTCCCATTGTTCCTGTCGACAGTAACCACCCCACACTAGCCTTACAACACATCCTTTTGTTGTATTGTAAGGTTTCCTTCCCGATGTATGTACTTAGGGATGCCTCTACTGTGCAACACGGGAAAGCCTACAGTTAACGACTCAATTGGATATCAAAGAAACTCGATACACCCACACGTCTAGGAGGAAACATCTACGAACATATACCTTCTACGAGTCATCTTGGATCCTCTAACTGTTTCGAAAAGTTCATAGGTCGAGAATAGTAATCTACATATATGGACGCGTATGAGAAAGGTGACCGCGAACACCTAAATGATGTCGAGAATAAACTAGTCATTAACTATAATTACCATCATCCAACGTAAAAGACAACCACGTATTCACCCTTTCGAGGAGCCTTCGTCAACACGTCCATATGTACACTTGAGCGATGGTGGCAATCTATAGTTGCGGTATGTTTTCTTCATACCGCAAATGAAACGATGAAAGTGCCAGTCATCGGAGCCCTACGCACTAGTCCACAGACGAAGGAGGAGAGGACCAGAAACCCGGCCACGCCAATGCCTAAAGACGCTCATAATTTCTCATGGATTTCGATAGTCATTATAGCGACTTATATAGCACCGCAGTTGCGAAGTTTACCCTAAACAAATATGTACTACAAATTGCAACATGTATCTTATTATTATTTTGTAGTACTGTTAATAACGGAGGCTGCCTCGTCGGGACAAAGTAGTCCCGCTTTCGCTGCTACCGTTCTATCCCTTTTATTCCACAAGTACGCTCTTATGAGAAACTGAGACCTTAACCCCGACCCTCACAGCTAACGGTATATCGAAATCCTCCTTTGTACCCTCTTAAGCGCCATTCCAGTTAGGTCAAGAATTAAAAGATTCAAACGTTGTACCTCATCCAACATTTCTCGCATCACAAATACCCCTCTATCACCGATCCACAACACCTAAAGCCTTAACGATGCAAATTGAAACATCTATCACCGGAAAAACGCATATCGCACCCTACTCTTACGCGATAAGTAATGGCAGATATCGAAGAGATGCGCACCTTGTTCCGTCGTCGCCTTCGAACCTTGCCGACAGTGGCTTAGGCGCCGAAGAGCTGAGCCGGCAACGCTGCTCGCCACAGATCTCCGTCCAATTGCATCGTACCCTTCGAGTAACCGGAATTCTGTTGCCTTCAAACCCTTCGGTGTCGGTGCATCAATCTCTTGAGGATTGTGTGCGTGAAGCTCTGGGTATAAATGAAAAGGCAGGGGTAAATGTGCACACCCCACCTACCTCATTTACGTTTAATTTAAAAAAAAATTAAAAAAAATAAAATTAAAGGTTATAGCCTGACAACAGGGAATCTCTCCAAACCCTATACCATAGGCTTGTCGGATCGTGTTCATAGACTGGGTTTCGCGCCCAAACCCGGACCTAAAGTGGATCTACAGTAGAATTTCCCCAAATCGCGTTGAAGAAACAGACCCATAATTTTATTTTTCCATAAGCCATTACATTTGTGTCCAGTAGGAGGGACTAAAACGCTCCGTTTACACAACACATTTTTATTCATTTAACATTATTAATTTTTTTAAAAAATATTACATCAAATACAATTTTTTTTTTCTTACAAAATATGAGATCAAATACTAATATTTTATTTTTTCCAAATTTCTAAATTTTCAAAAACCTCCAAAAAAAAAAAAAAAAAAAAAAAAAAAAAACTTGTTAACTTATACTTAGGTGAGTCTGACAGACAATCGATCGAACAGTTTGGCCTTAATTCACATCACATGGTTACCCGATCCAACTCCTCCTTTAGTTCCATCCTCAGAGTTTCTCATTTACACAATTCTTCCTCAGGATTCCGATTCGACTCGTCTGAATCCCTTTCAAGCCTCCTCGAAATCTCCATCGGAAACCACTCGTTCAGCCTTACTCAGCAATCCCACGCTAGGGCTCATCGTTTGGGGCTCACGCAGCACGCACTCATAGCGCAGAAGCTCATCTCTGCGTCCTGTCAATTCAAGCGCCCAATTGATGCGAAGCTCATTTTCGACTCCCTCTTGGTTAAAAACTTAATTGTTTGCAATACGTTGCTGAGTGGATATGGAAACAACAGAGTCTTTTACGAAGCTTTCGCCCTTTTCAGGGAGATGTGTAGATCGTCCCTGTTGCCCTTACCGGATGATTTTACCTTTTCAGGAATTTTTAAGGTTGTGGCGGATTTCGGAGAGGTTTGGATTGGCAGAATGGTGCACGCTAGAGGTCTGCAAAATGGCTATTTGCAGGACGTTGTTGTCGGGAATTCTCTGTTGTCAATGTACGGACGGTTAGGATTCTTCAATGATGCCTCCAAAGTGTTCGACGAAATGCCTCTGAGAAATGTGTCTTCATGGAACGGATTGATTTCGTGCTACGCCAAGGTTTACGCTGAATGCGACGATCCTTCTTTGGATGCTTACAGATTTTGGGAGATTGCGACGGAAATGCAAAGTGCAGGGTTTAAATTCAACGAGTTCACCATCATGACTCTCCTTTCGGTTTGTAAAAAAGAATGCAGCCGCGGGAGGGAGCTGCATTGTTATATATTGAAGAACGTATTGGATTGGAAATCCGACGTTCAATTGGGGTGCAGTTTGATCGATATGTATTCAAAAACAGGAAAAGTTTGTGTAGGAAGAAGGGTCTTCGATGCGATGAACACTCGGAACGTTGGTGTCTGGACTGCGATGATCAACGGCTACGTGAGCGCCGAAAGGTTCAACGAAGGATTATTTCTTTTCCGCGAGATGCAATGCAGAGGCGGGACGAGAGCCAACGAGGTGTCTCTCGTCTCCATCTTGCCTGCGTGCAGTTCATCTTCTAATTTGATCGGAATGAAGGAAATTCACGGCTTCGCAATCAGGAACGCGCTGAATCGCAAACTCTCGCTGTGCAACGCCTTGATCGATACATACGCCAAATCCGGGAGCTTGAAGTATGCCTCGCGAGTGTTTGACCACGAGTGCATCATTAGGGACAGGATTTCTTGGAGTTCGATTATCTGCGGATACAGTTTACACGGCCATGGCAAGCGTGCAGTTTTCTTGTTCAACGAGATGGTCAAGACCGGGATTGATCCTGACCAGGCAGTCGTGGTCGGGGTTCTTTCTGCGTGCAGTCGGTCAGGATTGGAAAACGAAGGACTCCAATTATATGACGCCGTCGTGAACCATTACAAGATAAATCCGACGGTCGAGATGTGTGCTTGTGTGGTGGATATGCTTGGGCGATTAGGGCAGCTCGACCGGGCTTTAGGGTTTGTCCAAAGCATGCAAGTTGAGCCGGGGGCTAGCATCTGGGGTGCGTTATTGTGCGCCGCAGTGCAGCATGGGGATTCAAGAATTCAGGAGTTGGCGTACGCCTCCCTAATCGCGATAGAACCGGAGAATTCATCGAATTATATCTCGGTTTCCAATTTACTCGCAGCTTCGAAGAGGTGGGACGAGATGGCGCGAGTTAGGATGGTTATGAAAGAAAAGGGGTTGAGGACGAGGCCGGGATGCAGCTGGATCAGCATAAACGGTGCGACGCATAGCTTTTTTGTCGGCGACAAGTCGCACCCTTGTTCGGACATGATTTACGCTGTGATCGACGAATTGATGCATACGATGAAGGCTTCGCGTAGCGATCCTGAGTTCGTATAAGTTTGAGTGTTTTACATAGAGATCGCCAGACCCCAGTGAGCACCTGTTGGTAGTTGATACGGTATGTTATGTGTTGAGATCAATGATAGTAAGAGGCACGTGGATTATTGTCATATATTGTCGGTTCATTCGTTGTATTTATTGGCATAGTATTAGTTAAATTATATGCAATAGATACATGACATATCTAGGTGTTATTCAACACGGCAATTTTGGAATTTCAAATTTATTGATTGTCTACTGTCACGTGTGCATTCAACTATTTGGTACATGTGTTGATTGGGTCGAGTCAATATGTTGCTAATCGATCCAGTTAGCACATACATCAAGACACATAAGACATAATTTGTTATTTTTTTTAAAAAAATTATATAATTATACATTTTAATTATATTTTATATTTTATAATATATAATTTTTTTAAATATAATTAAATTATTTGGTTATCTAATCTTAATCTATAATTATATTAAATCATAATTATTTTTTTATTAATACACTTCTTAGTTATTTATTTATTATAATTTTATTAAATTCATTTATCTACAGTAATATTGACACTTTATCCGAGGTGGAAAGAGTAACACATAATAATATAATATTCAATCTATATTATGATAGTATATAATAATACAATATATATCATAATACTCCTTCCGTCCCTTAACAACATATCTATTTTTTCACTTTGGTTCATCTCATGATAAAGTATCCATTTTTTTTTAGTAATTATACTATCTATCTGACATTACAAATACCCTTTTAATTTACAATATATTACACAAATATCATTACCTTTATATCATACAATCCTAATAAGGGTAGTTTGGTCTTTTTACCTTTATTTCTACTATATCTCAATATAATATTAATATTTCTAAAACTTCGTACAAAAAGTAAATGAAGAGATAGATATGAGACAGAGGGAGTATATTATTATTTTTCACTACAATAAACATATATATACAATACAATACAATATATAAATTGTAAAGCACATGCTTATAGCACAATATTGTGCTATGCTATTGTTACCACCTAAGATAAATTACGACTTAGGTTGGATAATGAAGTGCTTTGGAGTACGGAGTAAAGTCGGTTCCCAGGTATGTTGTGATACTCAAAATTGAATAGTGTTGAATATAATTTAAATGAATTAATTATGTCTACTAGCACATGTTTTTTTCAAAAGTCTACCCGAAAAATCTCTAAATTTAAACATATTTACTTTAGAGACAGGGCCTCAAAATTATAAAACGTCTATGTGAACGTACAACGCCTCGGTTCCTAATTAAAATCGGAACCCAAATACGCCTTGGTTTGTAAAAGGAAGATGTGAAACCCGATACCCCAAGGGCGTCTCGCCCCAACTATTTCAACATTCATATTGGTTATGTGTATGATTATATTAAATGGTCAAATCAGTAATATACTGACTTGGCCGGATCAGCACAGAATCCGCAAATCTATATATATATATATATGACTTGGTTGGATTTTTCCAAAAAATTTTAATATTCACCTATTTGTTTCTCATTTTTTTCTTTTTACTATTAACTATTTTTTTTCTCTAAAATATTAATATGTTTCTTTAACACAAATTTTCCAAATTATACTATTTAGATTATGTATTTTTGCAAAAAATACTCTCTCCATTCGGTTAAAAGGTATATATTTATTTTTGACGCGAAGTTTAAGAAATAATAATATTTTAATTGTTGTAATAGTATGACAGCCCGACCTACAAGTCACGTAAAATCGGGCATGTCGGAATTGCATACTGGCCCCACAAATCAACAAGGGTCCTTCCAGTGCGCTTTTGTCCTCTAGGGTAAAATACCTTCAACTCTAGAGTTCTTTCACTAAGATTTCCGAAAATGAATGTGCACATGAGTAATCTATTCAATTCATTTAACCTCTAATCAATTTTAAAAGACTTCTAAAAGTCCGGATTGAATACACCCAAATTTTAAAAAGTCCAATAAAATCCTGCATAATCTTAATTGAATACCCCTTTTAGTTTTATTTTTTATTTTAACATTACATTAATTTTAATTCATCACACAATAATTATTTTAATTTTAATTTTATAATTTTTGTACTATAGTAAAATAGCAAAACATACATCTACCACATAATATTATTAATTTCATCGTGATAAATATATTTATACCATACATTACATATGTAAAATTGCACAACATATATTTGTATATAAATTGACGTATACAATACATTACAAATGTAAAATTGCACGACATATGTTTCTACATAAATTGGCGTAACTACATGGGAGCAAGGGGCCGAACCCTTAATTATTTATATAAATTTTAAATTATATATAATAAAAATATATAAAAACATTTTGAACCAAAAAATTTTATTACTTTTTTATTATAAAATATATCAAAATTTTAGTATATCAAAAATTTTCGATATGATTTAATATTATATTGATTTTTTTTTTTAGTACGGTAACAATATCATTTTATATGTTCAGTATATATTAAAACAATTTCAGTGTTTTAATATTCAATATATGCAAAAAAAAAATTAATATATTGATACTAAAATTATTATTTTTAAATTTTAGTATTTGGATATGCAATAGTATATATCGATATTGTATCAAAATTTCGATATATTATCAGTATATATATTATAATACCAATTTTTCGATATATCAAATTTTTGAAAAAGAAAAATTAGCCCTAGTTCTAGTTTTGCCGTTGTCTTTATAACACAATTATGTGTGTGTTTATTTGAAGCAATCAACACCTAGCCCCCGTTGCTCACAATATAATATATTTTTGGACCAATTACGATGTTGAAAAATTACGATGTTGATTTTATTAAATTAATGTATATAATAAAGATAAACAATACATGTTCCAACATTGACAACACATGATATAATTAATTGATATAGCATATTATTCCCTCTGTCTCTTAACAATTTTTTCATCTTTCTATTTTGATTCGTCTCAGAAAAAAATATTATTTTTTTTTTAGTAATTTTACTTTCTATTAACATTAAAACTACTTTATGACTTACAATATACTCCCTCCGTCCACTTACAATATTTACATATTTCTATTTTGGGACGTCCAATTACAAAGTTAACATTTTATTAAATACCATATTTTTTTCCACAAATACCATTATTTTATATTACATTATTACTTTTACACAAAAAAATAAGGGTCAAAATGTCATTACACTACTTTTAATCACTCACTTTAATTAAAATATTATTATTTCTTAAACACCGCGCCAAAAGTAAATGTAAATATTGTAAGTGGACGGAGGGAGTATTACACAAATATCATTACTTTTATATCATGCAATAATAAGGTTACTTTAATCTTTTCTACTTTATTCATACCACATCCCAATATAATAATAATATTTTCAAAACTTCGTGCAAAAAGCAAACGAATAAATTCATAAGGGACGGGGAGAGTCCACTATTTTTATTTTTGTTCGTCTCATATAATTTATTATTTTTTTTAAAATACAATTATACACTTTAATCACATTTTAAAATTCATAATTTATACTTTTTTAATTTAATTAAAATATTTAGTTATTTTAATTTTAATCTAAATTCTTTTTATTAAATTATAATTATTTTTACTAATATATTTTTTAATTACTCACTAATTAAGTAATACTTAATTTAAATTATAAAAATTAGCCAAAACGAAGAAAATACATTTTTATATAACACACTTGTATAAAGCATACATTGTTTATTATTATTATTATTATTATTATTATTAATATTATTTATTCAAATTAGCAGTACCTTAAATGATTATATCCGAACAAGAGATTAGATATATTATTATTATTATTATTGGCTCCACTCACACACAAATATATATATAAAAAAAATAGAAAAAAACTCAAAAAATGACGTGTGAGCGTGCATGGTCCCATCTTAGGTAAATACATTGATAATGTTCCACGTAATTTATTTATATTTTTTATTTTCGTCCGTCCTATATAATTTATTTATTTTTTCCGAATATAATTATACATTTTAATCATATTTTAAATTTTATAATTTATAATTTTCTTAATTTTAATCAAACTATTTATTTATTTTAATATATAATTATTTTTACTAATATACTTTTTAATTACTTACTAATTATACGAGAGGAAGGGAGTACTAGATTCTATTTCCTTCGGTCCTGTATAACTAATGGTATCTTTTATTAGATCACAAAATTTAAGAAATTAATATTTATTTAATTCATAACAATGAGTTATAATACTTCTCTCCGCCTCAATACAATAGTTTTGTTTAACATTTTTGTTTATCTCAAAACAATTCTCTCCGCCTCGATACAATAGTTTTGTTTAACATTTTTGTTCGTCTCAAAACAATAATCTCATTTCCATAAATAACCATATAACTATAAAGTTACCTTTACTTTTTCATTATTATTACACAATTGCCACTACTTTTTACACTAGTACAATCACAAGGGCAAAAAAATCTTTACCCCGTACATTTCACCCACTACCAATATAATATTAATGTTCCTTAAATTCTGTGTCAAACACAACCCAGACTATAGTTCTGCGACGGAGGGAGTATTATTTTATTATGTTTTATATAATTAATATTTATAATTTTAAAATAAATTTAATATATATTCTTAAAAAATTAATATATATATTTAAATATTTTAAAAATTATATCGCAATAAATAATAAATATAATATGAATATTATTTTATATAAAATAAAATATTCTACAATACAAGTAAATAAAAAATAGTTTTATTTATATATAGTTAACATATATTAATTTTATAAAAGAGATTGAACTTTTAAATATAAATAAAAATATTTTTTTTAAGAGAGACATAAACATAAAAAGATTTTGAGCTAGTCTACATAATGTATGATGTTATAGGAAGGTTACGGTACTGATTTTCCAATTTAGCACTTGCAAAATATAAAAATATCACATATTTTTATTACAAACAACATTTGTTGTTTGTAATAAAGATATGTATTGTTTATTTATAATTATAGCGTGCGCTTGTATGTGTTGTGTGAGACTATATTATATTCTTAGTTTATGTGTTGTACTTGTATTATATGAATATAAATTATGTATTGCCGCTAATATTATCGTGTTGTTTTCTAGCACATTGCGTGCTATTCAACACAATGCTGAATTT